AAAATTCTATTGGCTAAGTATGTAACTTAAAATCAACTAAAAAAACTTATAGTGTTGAATTTTCATACTCACTTTTCAGTTCAGTTCAACACATATTGACTACTAGGAGTAAGCAGCAGTCCATTGGTTTTTGGTTATAAATAGTTGTCGAGATATAATCAGTCAATAATGTAGACTATGAAAATATATTGATTACTAAATTATGCATGAGTATGATTAAATTTAACGTCAGTTTTTTTATTCATTTCAATGGCAGTACGGAATGTAAAAGTATAAAATACTAAGAAGACAAAAGAGCTTGTTTATTTATAAAACTTTAAAAAAAAAGTATTTTAAGTAGAAGAATCTTGAGTGATATGCAATAGAGTTTTACATTCATTTTTATAACTGTCAATCTTTTATTTCTTCCGCTAAACATAAACAAAAGGAAATCTTTATTAGTTTCTTTTCTAGACGCCTTTCCTAGTAATTCAGATTTTTCTTATTCTACTAAGAAACAAAGTCATGGTATATATATGTATATGTATATATATATATATATATATATATATATATATATATATATATATATATATATATATATATATATATATATATATATATATATATATATATAGTTGTTTATGATTGACTGAACGAACTGATGAGTAAATAAATATGAATTTGAATAAATTAATTGTTGAGGAATTTAGTTGCGTTGGTTACAAATTAAATATTAATCAGGAAAGATAGATGTTATATTATAGTTAAGTAATACTAAACATCTTAGGTTTATTCACAGAATCTTTTATAAGATTTATCGGTAATCAATAAAATAAATAATATCAATATCTTAAAGCGTTAAATTGAAGGGCAATAATGGACTTTCATCCAACTTTATACAATTCACTCACATAGTTGACATTCATGTTAGATGCGATTATAGTAACTTAAAAATACTTACTGATTAATTTTAATAACTATTCCATATAAACGTGATCTTCTGGTGATAAACATAAATTTCCAGTAATTGTGTTATGCAGAATTTATTCAAGCAACACAAATGTCATACATTTCTTGGTTTTGAATACTTTTCTACAATAGATTTATCACTTAAAGATTACATTTTATAGATGCCAGATACAGTAAGTCTTTTTATGAGGTATATACAGTAGTTCAAATAAAGTATTTAAGTAGCATATTTTCTACATGTAATGTCAGTGGTAAATAGTTTTAGCTTATAACTCAATGTATTCTCAAACATCAAGTCCCTACAGCGAGCGCATAAGCTGGTTGTTGAATTCATCTACGAGATGCTTAAATGTTGTTATTAAACAAAACTAAACAATTTTTCATCATTGTGAAGGAAGTTGGTGAATTCCAGTTATTTTAAATTTTGAAGCAAGGTTCTCTGTCGACCAGCTATCGTTATCAAAATGTATTTACGGTATAGTGTATCTTTGTAGATATCGAAGTTTTATTCCATTATTAACATCATTGAACGAAATGTTAAAGATTGTTAGATTATATATACTAAGTTTGAGACTCATTAACATTATGCACTCACAAGCTCATACAGGGTTGAATCTAAAACTTTTTGTTATCAAATCAATGAAATTACTTCTAGGCCACTCGACAGGAATCTATTTTTTCATATTTCTGACTCCAGTCAATTTATGATATAGCTAAACGTTTACTAATTATTCTATGGAGCTTTTCTACAAACCAGAACTTTGTTTAAATGTCATTTCTAATCTGTGCACGAATACGAGTATGATTAGAAATAAGTGCTTATGTAAAAATTTATCTAAGTCACAAAGTGAACAGCAACATTGAGCTGAAGCCATATCTAGCTAACAAGTCCTCAATGAGGCGAAAAACGAGTCCTGGATTATAATGTTAACAGCAAATATATCATGCCCAACACATGGTTTATAATAGAACTCTCAAATCAATGCCAGATTATATGGAGATACATTGATAGATATGGAGCATGAAATAGCTATTCTTGTTTCCGACTCATCATGAGTGCACAAGCTGAGTAGATATCAGGGTACCTAGGATTAGCAACGATTGTGATCCTTCCAAGTGTATAATTGGTAATTATGCTTATCATTCTTAGAATGGAAATGGTTACGAACATCATGTGTGTTTATTAGAAAATACGAATACTTATATTCTAAATGTAAATATATATTTGTAAAGCTTTAACTGAATGTATTTGTATAGTTCTATCAGATTATACAACTTCTTATGAGTAATATGGATGTTCAGATTAAATTAACGAGAGTAAAGTTAGAACTACGTAATTTTACTCATCTAAAGTTTGATCTCTATTATCTTCACCAAGTATAATGTCTAATTTCTCTAAAACTATTACTCCAAATCTCAAGCAAATATGAATGTACATTCATGTGTGTATGTCTATTACTTGTGTTTTACCATACATTCACGTGTTTATACATTTGAAGAATTGTATGTATGTATTTTCACTTGGCTTTCCAAGTCTCATTATATAATTACAAGAGATTTAGTGAGATGATTAAAATGTTTTTGAAATCATTAGTCAGTTGAAGCTAAATCACCACGGAAAACCTGGAAGCACTGGACGACCGTTTCGTCCTAGTACGGGACTCCTCAGCAGTGGGCATCCACGATCCCGCACCCCGCGAAATTCGATCCCAAGACCTGCTCACTGGTGATTAACTTCAAGAGATACTCCTAGAGTTCTAGTGGGAAGCCGTTACCAGTGGAGTTCAATCAGGTCTGTTGTGAGATATCAGCCCACTGAAGACAATGGTATATGGTGGCGCAACTTCGTAGACTGGTTGAAGTTAGACATTATCACCGTTGGATGCCGGCTCAGTGGTCTAATGGTTAAGTGCTCGCGCGCGAAGCCAGTAGTTCCTGGGTTCGAATCTCGCGGGGTGCAGGACCGTGGATTTGCACTGCTGAGGAGTCCCATGCTAGGATGAAACGGCCGTCCAGTGCTTCCAGGTTTTCAGTGGTGGTCTAGCTTCAACTGACTCATGATTTCAATCTGTGGAAATTTCTAAAATCTCCATAAACCCCTTCTGACAAAATGTTTTTGTCATAATAATTAAAGGTCATAGAGGTGTAAAAAATAAATAAGGTGGTATGATGAGTATTTACGAATAAAATAATGAGAATCTAAGACATAAGTAAAGGGGGGATGCAGCAATAATAATAATAATAGGACAATAAAAATAGTTAAGGCTAAGGTAACGATAACGATAAGACGTATTTCTTTTGTACGCATAGTTATGGTTTAAGCTCCCGGATGGTAAGAGCTTTGGCTATTTTTAAGAGTTGGATACGAAGAAATCTGGGTAGATTTGAACGAATCATATAAGCAACCTTAACATCAATTTTTGGATCTGTAGAATGGTTATAGTCGATTAGGTGTTCCAGTATAGAACTACTAACTGCTTTCCTTTCACCCTTATAGAACCAAGCTGGGATATGTTCCCGTATCCGAGTTGAAAGCAAGCGCTGGCTACGGCCAATGTATCTTGCTCCACAAGAGCAGGTGAACTGGTAGATCCACATGGAGGCGACCAGGCGCGGAAGCTTATCTTTTATGGATACAGAAAATAAGTTTCTACTAGTGAAGGTTACCCGAAGTTTAGCCGCGTTAAATGTTCTTTTAATAGTTGTTGTTAGACGATTTTTGATAACGTCTGATGTTCGATCACCTTTAAATTCCAGACTTATATAAAGGTTTTTCTTCGAAACAGAACAACTAGATTTCTTGTCGTAACTATTTCTATTCATATTCTTTTCTATGAATCGTTCTGGATAACCATTTTCCGTCAAGGTTTTCTTGAGGAATGCGAGTTCTTCGTTAATGCATTCCGTACTAATGTATTCGATAACATAAAGAATTATATAATTTTTTGTGAATATTTATTACCCGACTGATTCGTTATTTATTTATCAAATAAATATGAGTTTAATAATTGACTTATTTATCCACACGCTATATACTCTTAATTTCAATTTATCATTTAGGAATAGTAAGTCATGTACTATCTTATATAGATCTCTTTTTTAGAATTGATTTTCTCAACAAACAAACAAAAGGTTTCTTATTTTTTTTAACTTCATTCATTATTTTCATCTTTTTTCTTTTTCCGAATAATTTCTAATCAATAAAAATCAAATGATGGATGAGTTTTTCCATGGAATATATAAACTTTTTTGTTTTGTTTCTTTGTTTTGAAACAACAAAAAAATAGTTGACAAAAACTAAATAAACTGGGTAATATGAGAGAAAATTAGTGGAAACAAAAGAGATAGATAGATAGATAGATTATAAAATCATCTTGTAAACATTGTTTTTCATTCAATATTATCATTTTATTCACAAATTAATCCAAGTAACTTTTTCTTTTTTATTCTTGTTTGTTTTGAGCATTTATTGTTTATAAAAAAAATAGTTAGAATGTATAATTATTGAATAACTGATTATGTAATTGGAGTTATGCACTAATCATATTTATATTGGATATAGAATTATTAGAATAGACTTACCCAGAAATAACCTAACAACTATAGATGTGTGACTTGGTTTATGTAGTTCTTTCTATTTCTGAATTATTTTTTCTATCTAGACGAACTTTTTGATATGTCAAGCAGTTCAATAAATGAGTGATGAACATCTTAACTTTGTAACCCAGATTATGAAACAGTTTTAATAACTGAGTATAGTATTACTAGCTTAGTTTCATTCAATTAACAAAGAAAAGGTTATGAAATAAAGTAACTGTGTGTTGGACCACTAATTCAGAAACCTATTGAAGGTTGATTAAATAAGAATTAAAGACATAAGTTTCACTTCAATTTATGACTGATTGTTTTATTGTAATTTATGTCTTTGAAATAATTCACATAATAACAATAATTGTGATTTTTAATAGTACATAGAGTAACTTGTTTAAATAACGTAGTTGTACCTTGAAATATTCTAAAGGCTTATTTTGTATAAAATTTTTATACAGATCCTTCTGGAACCAGATCATCTTTTCCAAATGAATCCCTGTATATGTCTTCTAAACTTCCTGCCCAAATTCTTGGAAATACTCGAACTTCTACTGCACCAACTAGTCTTTCTGGTCAAGCTGAATTCGAAACGGCTTATTCAAATTTAGATTCTTTTGGAACGTCAAAAACGTCATCGGATCGCTTTGGAGATTTTCTAACTTTACCAAGTGAAAGATGTTTATCGACCTCTCAGGCTCCAAGTCATCCTTCACAATCTTCTACATATGATTGGGATACTTCGAATACTCCGTCTAGAACAGTGAATTCGCAAAATGTTGATCGTATCCCAAAATCTGGTAACCTTAATGGGTTATTCATTTTGCATGTTATTGCAGGCAAAGGTTTAAATTCTACACACATTATTGTCAGAGATCTTTACTGTGTCATCGAAATGGACTCTGTACGTAAGGCGCGTTCCATGATACGTACTAGTACAAGCTATTTTGAGTGGAATGAGGTATTTGAACTTGATATGGAAGATAACAGATTTTTAGCTGTCTTACTTTATCAGTGGGACCCACGTACTAAACATCGTTTATGCTTTTATGGCGGAATTGATTTGAAAAATTTGCTTGGTAAATTAACATCAAGTAATATAGCATCAACATCCCATACTTCAACAAGTGAACTTATTCTCAGTCCTTCTGTATCAATTTCACCCAAAAATGTTTATAAAATCGCCCTGCAGCTTGAACCGAGAGGTGTATTATACCTTGAACTTGCACATATACCATTGGAAAAATTATTTCATCGTAATCAACATTTGTTAAGCACAAGTGCATTGAGCTCAACTAGTGCTGATCGATTGTTATTTGGTGTATCGATCGATGAATTAATTGAGCGTGAACGTGTTATATGCCAAATTACTGAATTGTATTCTCCAAAACAATTAGTTTATCAAAATACATCTGATTATATGTTTATACCATTATTTATTAAGAAATGTGTTGAAGAAATTGATAAACGTGGATCAGACGTTGTTGGTGTTTATCGTTTAGCCGGTTCTGTATGGATGAAATTACAAGTACGTGAATTATTTAATCGTGTTACAAAATCTACACTGAAAGCTATAGTTCATGAAGATGCTAAAGCTATTAGAGATATTATACAATTAGTGGATTTATCAGCCCAGCGTATTCCAGATATTCATGCTATTACTGGTAAGTTATTTTACAAACAAAACGTTTTTAAATAAATTTCTTTAATATTTATGAATTAATATAATTTTCTATGTTATATATAACCAAAACAGTCAACCATCAGAAATAAAATAACCATTGGATCATCTTTATGTTTATTAAAGTCTTCGAAAAATCACGATCCTTGCAATCAAGTCAGTAAATACGGGATTATTTTGTACTGTATTATTGAGTAACAGTTACCAGATTTACATAAATACTATTCTATTGTATTAAGCTCATGAACTCATAATTTACTACTTACTGAATTATATTCAATAATTAACCATTATTCTTTTAAAATCGTTTGTTTTTATTTTCATCTAAAATTTCCTTTGAAACTTATAAATATCACGTAAAATGTAAGACTGCTAAGTTATATTGTAACTTACTGGTTTTATTCACTATTACCATTACTGTTATTATTATTATATAATTCGAGTTTATACTAACATTTTGGTGTGAAAACTCAGTGACCTACAAACCAAAGTTAAAAGCTTTAACATTTCTATGTTCTCAAATAGTTCCCTTTATTTTACTGAAAAAAAATTATTGTCACTAACATTATATACAGACTGGAGCTAACCATTTCCGATAGCAGCAAAAATCTTTGCACGCAGTAAAAAAAAACACACATTCATGTTCATAAATTAGTTTATTATTTTCGGTTTATCAAAATATTTTATTTGTAGCCAAGTGAAAATATAAATAAAATAACCTAACTTTTTAGCTTGATGTGTATAATTCAATTGCTAATCTTCACGTTTCAAAATTCATACAACATTCACTATTATGTTCATTAAAATTACTTAGATTTAATAGTTAAGAATAATTATAAATTATTTGATTTTTCTAACTAAATATAGTTTGTAAATGCATTACATTTCTAACAAATAGATCGTCTTATTAAGATTTTAGTACACAGTGATTTGAGCATAATTTTATGTAAGAGTACTCAGAAAACTTGTAATTTCAATGATAGAGATCTTGAGTCAATTCAAGCTATGCCACCGTGGAAAACCTGAAAACACTAGACGGCCATTTCGTCCTATTGTGGGGCTGAGCATCAGTGCTCACCCACGACCCAGCCTCGCGAGATTCGTACCTAGGACCTATCAGTCTCTCGAGCGAGCGCCTAGCCACTAGACCACTGAGTCGTCCGGCATTCAACAGTGTTAATGTCTAGCTCCAACTGATCCACGAAATCGAGCGACATAGCTACCATTGTCATCAGTGAGTTCCCAACTTACAACTGACTCGTTTGAACTCCACTGATCACTGCTTCTCACTAGAACTCTAGGATATATCTCTTGAAGCCAGTCACTAGTGAGAATATATTGATTAATACCAGAAGATCCTGGGTTCTAATCCCGCGAGCAAGATCGTGGATACGCACTGCTGAGGAGTCCCATAATAGGCCAAAACGGCCTCCCAGTGCTTCCAGGTTTTCAATGGTGGTCTAGCTTCAATGGACTCATGATCCCAACTATTGAAATTACTGTGATCTTCACAAAACCCTTTGTGATACGAACTTGTAATTATTAGTAGCAAACTGTACAGTGTAAATCACATCAGATGATTTATACCTCTTCAACCATTGTTAATAAAATCAATACAAACTTTCAATGAGTTTAAAATTGTTGAATTACCACCTATACACTAAAGATCAAGCGAGTTTACCAGAGACATTACTTTAAGTTGAATTTACCTTGTATAATATAAAGAGTTTATAATAGTTTTTACAGTCATTCTTAAAGCAATCTGATTTATATGCCTTATATAGTTATAACAAGTGTTTTATATCCACACAGAAATCAGTGTTTAAGATGGCACATTTATACTCCAAAGTTCCACAAATTGACCTTACTTCTTTAGAAATTTTGAAAGAATGAATAGAACATGAGATGTTTAATTATCATATTATAAAAAGAAATTATTACTGAATTAATAAATCTACAATTACAGATAGGTTTTGTGTATATTATAGTTGAATTCATGAGTTAATTGAATCTAGACCACTATGGAAAACTTGATAGCACTGAATGACCATTTCATCCTACAATTGATTAGATCTTATTAATAAAACATTTTTTTTACTGATTTCATTTGTTACTATGGACAAAAATGTTAAAAATTCGAAAAAATTTATTTATTTTGAAAGAAAAAAATTTCAAGGCACCATTGTGTCTTATTATTTTTATAGATTATTTATTTAAATATTAAACAATATAATTTAAACTAAATAAGAAAGAGTTTCAATTTCTTAAAAATGACTTAAATCAATAAAAGAAAATACGGAAATACAAACGGAAATAATAACACATTGGTACTATTTTCTTTTTCATTTGCTTTCATCAATAAATTTTTTATATATTTAAAAGAAGACATAAAAATGAACGCTCACACACTGTTTCTTTATTAAAGAATCTATTTTACAAAAGTCACATCTTATTATATAAGTTTATTTGAAATGAAAGAAAAAGTTGAAAAAGTAAACACCCTACAATGTGAAAGAAGGAAGGAGAAAAAGGCGAAACGAATGAAAAACGAGATTAAAAAAAAAGCACTGTGATGGTGAAAGAAGAATAAAAAAAGTTTAGCCACTTTATAATTTAAAAAAATTACAATTTGAAGCACAGTAAAAAAGAAGGAAAATAGGAAAAAAAAAGGAAGGAAACAGACGACTTATTCTCCAGAGTCTCATGACATTATAATCAAATAAGTCAGGACACTGAATAATAATAAAAATTAAACAAACACAAAGTCATTGATATGAATTGAAAATATTTCTTGTTAAGTGTATGCTTATATATCTATACATACATTAATATTTACCGAACGAGTGTGGTAGGGTATATATTTATAATCTATTACTTATTTATATTACATTTTATGAATGTTATATTTGCATTTATTCTAATACTACAAAATGAAACAAACCAACTGAATAAGGTATACAGAACACTTGGAAATAAATTGTTTCAAAGTGATCGATTTTTTTATGGTTTTATTCCTGTTTAGTAGTCTATTTGTATTGTTCCACTTCGTTTCATTTTATTTGATTTCTTATCAAAATATATTCACTAACGTGGTATTAAATATGCAATAATAAAGATAATAATAATAATAATAGCAAAACAGTCAAATAAGAATGGTGAAACTTAAAAAGACTAAAATGCTCCATAGTAAAATCTAATTGAATACTAGATTTTTGTTATTATGATGAGATTTAAGGATAGGTTAGATAAATATTTACAAACTACCACAAAAAGGTAATTTGTTAATTTTCATTAAGTTCTACAATTATAAATCCAAATTACTATTATCCTAAACTTATCCACACATCTTACCATTGTCCTTATAATCATGATTATTATTATTATTATTATTACACTTGACAACCTTTTTGAGAAATTTATTCAGCATCCAACCGTATTTGCTAAATCTTGACTAGTTCGTATTATTCAACATATTACGTAATTTCTGATTTGTAATTATATTATTCTGTCTCTCTCTCTCACTCCATGCTGACCATATTTATTGTTTCATGCAATTGGTTCCTTTTATGAATTTAACTAGTGTAAGGACAAACAATTTCAAGTCACTCAATAAGTTGTTGATAGTTCGTTGCAGGATAACTGCATCAATGTTTGTTCTTGCTCTATTTAAATTCATATTTATTCTGATTATTTATCTCACAATTTCATTTCACTTATAAACTAATTCAAGTTAGCACTCCATATTAGTCAACCCAAACATTAATGACTCGATTTGATTTTATATGACAAACAATAATTCTTGATCATCATACTACATTTTAAATGATGTATTCTGCCTTAAATCTGGTCAATTTTATGGAATAGTAATTTGGATATGAGATAATTGTAAAACCTAATGAGAACTTATTGAAAATAATATTCTACGTTCATATAATTATGTTTTAATATAATAGGAATTTTTCGGCGACTTCAACAATATATATCAGTGGTAATTAATTAATTTACTTTGGAAGTTAGTAATTTTTTTAATAAAAAGTTGATGATTACGTAACTATATATGAGTTAGTGAAATTTGTTTAGATTCGAATATTTCAGTTTGATCTTTCAGTGATCCAATGTAACAAGTTCGGAACTCATAGTAAAACAAAATCTTCAACTGATCATTGATTTAGAAATCTTCTTAAATTTACTATCATATTTACAAAACTGTACATTAAATTCAATACTTGAATTTAATTGAATCAAATCTCGAAATTCATAACAAAGCTTCTAATGAATGATAATGATCGTTCTCTAACTTTGGATTGGAAAGGTATAAAAGCGAGTCTGAAATTAATTACAGTAGACCAATTCAATATGTTTCCTGACGTATTTCAGATATTTTCCGAAATACTTGTCATAGTTTAATTTAATAAGCTTTACTTCACCGATCCTATCTTGAAAATATGATATTTAAACCTAAACATTTTAGCCCGTATAAGATGACTACCATGACATTTTTGACAGCATGAAACAATGACATTGTTGGGATGCACTCACAAAGACAGAAAATCTGTTACTGATTGAAAACTACTACCACAGTTAGTAGCAAATTCATTTTTACTCATACCCTTAAAATTTAGCATTCGTATGCGATGTATTACATATTACATTTTGAATTATTCAAATATTGGCTTGATTCAATGTTTGGTTCTTCCATTTCATTCAACTTCAACTAGATTTTAAAATTTTCAGCGACCGTGATTATTATTAAATAGCTCACTTAACTAGGTTAAAGATATACAGTCACAAAAGTAATTCTTTCCACTTTCATTCAGAAACTATATAAACGAACCATATATAATGACCACATAAGATCCGAAAACGCCTTTTGGTTACACAGTGTTTTAAAAAAAGACAAAAGTTCATAGCCTTAGTTATCTGCTTAGCCTAGGCAGCTCAGAGTATTGCTTTTAGCAGGACAGATGGTTTCGTGAAAATCTA